GCTCTGGAGCCATCCTTCCTGAGCTAAGATGAAAAACTGTGAGCTGGAGGCTAAAAACTATGAGCTAGCACACACTAACTCAGCTTACAGGGAACACTGCTCAGAGTAACCTTTTCCTGTTCCACTTGCTGCCCACTCCAACTCTTGGAGCCACAGTGGTGGGAATGGAGGGGGCATACACACATATGTGTGACACCCATGTGAACTTTAGGTCTTGGAGACTACCAAGGCCACTGGCTGTTCATGCTCCACAATTAGGGTTACCAAATCTTATTCCCCCCGCGGTGGGGGAGCATTGCCGCAGTCCGGGAGTCGGGCAGACAAGCGTGCGCGCTTCGCGTGCGCACGCCGGCAGCACGTCGCCAGAAGTGACGGGCGACGTGCTGACGTTGGGGGTGTGGCTGAGCTCGTCGGAGGGGAAAACCATATGGTTTTCCCCTCCGACGAGCTCAGCCACACCCCCAACGTCAGCACGTCGCCCGTCACTTCTGGCGACCACCCTATCCACAATCCATCTCAGAATCTGGGGCAGAGGTTAAAAGTGAGCTGCTTGCCTAAGGCTCCCCATTAAGCTCATGGCAGAAGGGAAATTTGAACTAGAGAGACAAAAAGAGCAAGAGTCCAGTAGCACCTTAAAGACGAACAAAATTTGTGGCAGAGCTTTTGTGAGTCTCTGCTCACGTCTTCAGATACTTTATCTCACCTTATCTGAAGAAGTGAGCAGTGACCGATGAAGGCTCCTACCCTGCCACAAATTTTGTTAGTCTTTAAGGTGCTACTGGGCTCTTGCTCTTTTCTACTGCTACAGACAGACTAACGCAGCTACCCATCTTGAAACAGAGACTTCACAAATGCATCACTCTCAATACAATGCTAAACAGAATTATTCCCTTCTGATGTCAGTGGGTTTAGAAGGGCGTAACTTGGTTTACGACTACACTGTTCAAAGTCTCTTAGCCACTATGCTAGACCAGCTTTAGTAGTAAAACGTTTTTTTTCCCAGAAAACCAATTTAAATCCACACAGCTGCAGAAGAATGATCATGAACCAAACACCTACTGTTATTGCCACAGTAAACAAATTAAATTAATTACTCAACAAATGCTGTTCTTTGAAATATTTATTTTACACCAGTTCATCGGTTTTCAGTCCCATGAGTTCCAGCAGAGTGAAACGTGTGGCATAAACTTACTCTGTGTACCTCAGTTCTGGCTGCAAACATTAGCCAGTTTAATTAGGAATCAACTAATGAACTGGAAAGGACTAAGTAAACACACTATCTGAAAATGAAGATACAAGTGGTCTTGTGGCCATTTTGGTTCAGCTGCTGTGTTGCAGTATGCCAAGAAACAGAACATATCAAAGATGCCCTTAAAGTTGGATCTTTTCTGTGTAACTGAGTTTAGTGTAAATTTATATAAGATGGGCATGTGGAAATATTTTTTGTAAGTTTTCACAGTGACTCAAACTGTAACCTTTGTTGAAATTTGTAATAACAAATAAAGTTTCCCTTTCCTTCTGGCAATTAAATTATAATTTAAGGAATTCCTTTCTTGCAGCCTCTGAAAAGGGGCGTATATGTTTTCATAATATAAACATGTATTTATGTGGTATTAATCAATTAATTAATCAATGTTAATCAATTAATCCCTTGGACTGCAAGGAGATTAAATCAGTCAATTCTAAAAGAAATCAACCCTGACTGTTCCCTGGAAGGTCAGATACTGAAACCGAAGCTCAAATACTTTGGCCACCAAATGAGAAAGGAGCACTCACTGGAGAAGACCCTGATGCTGGGAAAGACAGAAGGTCAAAGAAGAAGGGGACGGCAAAGGATGAGATAGCTAGACAGTGTCATAGATGCAATGAACATGAAATTGAGCCAACTTCAGAGGACAGCGGAAGACAGGAGGGCCTGGCATGATCTGGTCCATGGGGTCGCGAAGAGTCGGACTCAACTGTGCAACAACAACAAAATCAACTAATCATTTTAAAATTGGTCTATGGTCCACATCTCTGCTTATGTATATAGAACAGTAGCCCACTCTATCAGTTTAAGCTCCCTGTTAAGCAAAGCTAACAGATACCAAACTTTACATGAGCAGCACCAACTATTTCCCATTTACTTATTGCAACTAGCTAGGTAACCTTTGGCCCTTCAAGGTTGAGGACTGCTGCCTCTGTTAGCTCAGATTAGAATTCACTATTAGTGGCATTTCTGTTTTGCTCAAGTGGGCCAATTACGGCTTGCAAATTGTTATTCAGTATAAGCATAGAGGAAAAGGTGGTCTTCTATTCTTGGGAGATACAAAAGTTCTGCAAATCCTCCAGCTACATGTAGCCAGTATTATGCTATGAATTTTGACAGTTTGGTATGATTTAATTTTAAACATCATAGGCAGTTGTGTGCTGCCCTGGTGTACATTTCTACTGCTGGTGTCAATCAATGTGAGAATACAACAGGAAAGAAAACAAACTGACTATATGTGTCACTGCCATATTGCAGAATGCACCCCAAAATGTTCTTGCAAATTCAAAAAAGCCCATTGCCTAACACAGAGAGAAACCAGGAGAAGGTGAAACAGAGCATGGTTCCTACTAGGGCTGCACTGAACATTTGCTTGTGAATGTTTTAGAGTTGAAAGAAAGCTCGTGAGGGGGAAGGCAAAACTTCCTTGAAAGTTCCTTGCCTGAGGATTTGTATTTTTGCACCTGTTTGCAGTAGGGTCCCCCCCCCCCGCTATTACAACTGATCTCCAGGTGACAGAGATCAATTCCCCTGGAGAAAATGGCCACTATGGAAGGTGGTTAGGTGAGATGGTTAGACAGTGTCATAGATGCAATGAACATGAAGTTGAGCAAACTTCAGAGGACGGCAGAAGACCGGAAGGCCTGGCGTGATCTGGTCCATGGGGTCGCAAAGAGTCGGACTCGACTGTGCGACTGAACAGCAACAACAACAAATGGAAGGTGGACCCTATAGCCCCATTAAAGTCCTTCCCCTCCCCAATCTCCATCCATCTCAGGCTCCACTGCCAAAATCTCCAGGTATTTCCCAACCCAGAGCTGGCAACTGTAGTTTGTGTTGGAATATACAAGGTCTATAGTGCACCTACTTGAAGAAGATCACAAGAACAGCCTATAGGAGACAGCTGGAGGACTGCTAGTTAGCATAGTTAGATTAGGGACTTCCCACAATTCCAAATATTGTCCTTCCCGTCTCCTGATTGGCTCTTTGGAGACTTCCTGCCCCTAGTGAGCCTCCCCCCTTCGTTCTTGTTTCTCACAGCAGTTAGTTAGTTAAGCCTCAGTTTGCTGCTGCTTCTGTGCAGCCAGTCATGTAGGGAATGCAATGACATCATGGTACCACTTGGGCAGAATTGGCTACTTGACGATGTCACTGAGGCAAACAAAGGCAAACAAAGCCAGCAAGATTGCCTTGTTCATAAATATTTCACTATTATCAAGACCATAGCCTGTGAAGTCACAACCAACTTACTGCAACCCCAGCAAGGAGCTTTCAAGGCAAGTGAGAAGCAGAGGTGGTTTGCCATTGCCTTCCTCTGCAGAGTCTTCCTTGGTGGTCTCCCATCCAAGTACCGACCCTGCTTAGCTTCTGAGATTTGTCAAGATCACATTATACCATGCTGCCTTCCCTCCACAGTTTCATTGCCCATCATAAATTTCATTGCCATGGCATAGCAGAGCAAGACAGGGACTGTTAGCTTAATTCCTTTGGCAATGGGGATGTGTCCCTTTCCATATCAGCATATTGTACAAACTCTTTTGCCCCTTTTGTAGAATGCCCTGAATAATCACTAAAAAAGCAGGCAGTTCTTACAGCTTGCAAAAACTCTGGTGAAAAGCACTCTTCCTCCACACAGCACTATGGCCCTGAAATAGAGTTGGGCACCACTCAGCTGAGGGTGATCATCAAAGTTTTACTTTGGGAAGAGTTACCCTGAGTATGGCTTCTTTGTTCATGGGCTGACTGCAACATCTACAACCATCTCAAGAAGAAACAAGAATATGGAACATGAAGACTCAGAGGTTGACTCTGTTATATCTCACTTGATAGCACACTTAGCAAATACTGCCACATCACTGAAACAGCAATGCATGCCATGCTACAAAATGTTAGTTATGGTCTAAGTAGATGAAAACACTTGGCTATCTGTGACTAGATATTCCCAACATTATAACAATAGAAATGGCAACTCTGAGGGCCCCAATTCAGAGGTAGGCCACATGGTGGCGGGGGAAGAGAACTTTCACTTCTACATGGTCTCATCAATTGAAACTAATATTCCCTCCACCATAGTCTTGGAAAAGGGATTAAACACCCATATTTTATCCTTGTAATTCTAACAATAACACAGGATCAGGTCAGTTTCAATTGGTTAAACCATGCAGCAGGGGCCTGACATTTTAACTCCCCCCCCAAGGGTCCCACGCAGCATCTGTTTCTGTTTTAAAATGCTGGGAAGAGCCAGTTACAGCTATTTCCAGCATCTTGCCAAGTTTCCACCTTTAGAGGGCAAAAATGGCTGGTGAAACCCTTTGGGAGAACCCATTAATGCCTCCAATCAAGGCACTATATGCACAGAAATCTACCAAGACTGTGGATCATCCAAACACATTCCTGAGACTTATCCCATCAGGCTGACATTGTAAATCCATAGTTCCCATTTTTAAGAAAATCTACATAATTTTTTAAAATTTGGAATATATCAAATCTTGCACTGGATGGTCAAAACATTTCAGCTATTTGTAAGCTGCAATACATTGTCCCCAGTATTCTCAAAGGAGAGAGGGTGTACTACTAACATTCTCCTCAATTTTAAAGCAGTTTGTTTTATGGAGTGAGAGGGAGGGAGGGAGCTGCTTTCCTGGAAATTCTAGTCCTCTAGGGCTTCCTTATGGTGGCTTTTCAAAATAAATGTCATTCAGAAAACAAACTTATTTATTGCACAAAGCAAAAAAACTATATAAGGGCTTACCTGATTTTACGCAATCAGAAGTTACACAAACAGCATCTGGAAAGAGATTACAGGACTATTAGCTACAACTCGTAGCTTTAGTTAATTCAATCCACAGCTTGCTGCTCCAGATTTTGTACCTCACTGTTTGTTGTGAAAAATCAATACTACTTAAATGTATAATTTCTAAACACTCTGGATACTTATATACCACATTGTAACATGAAGATATTCTTCAAGTGTGTCTGCTTTGGTTGCAGTGCCCTATAAACTCAGATTATCCTCATAAAAGCTATATTCCAATTAGCATGCATAAAACAGGACTATTGCAAAAGTAGATAAAACACCAAGAAATGCTTAGCTTTTCATCTTAATCAACAAGGTGATAAGGAACAAATCTATGGTACATGAAAGAATGTTCTTGTACAACGCAGAACACTGGCCATAGTGAGATAATATCTGAGAACAGCTTTTAGAAGTTTCTCTAATGCTTGCTTAACCATTCAATATAACTGAAAATATACAACAATATACAAACAATATGTCTTGTGAAAGAATGGACTTGTAAGCTCTTCACTGTTACTTCTGATTGTACCCCCCACCCTATTCAGTACCTCCTGCTGGCAACCCTCCAATCCCCACCACTGCTCAGTAGGCCAGTGGGAGATAATGAAGGGGAAAATGATGTCGTGTCAATGGCGTGACATCATTTCCAGGGTGAACTTAGAAGTGATGTCACACTGTTCTTGAATCCTGCAGTAAAACAATCGAGTTCACCCCAGCAGTGAGATTATGCCATCAATACAATGGTGCCCCCATGTCCCCTCTCCCAGCCTCCTGCCAGGTGCCAGCCATCAGCCAGCAACTGCACTCCCCTGGTTCCAGCAGCACATCTCCAGGAATATTCCCAACATGGAGCCGAAAACAAAGGGACAACTAATGCAGATTCTTTCATCAAAGTAGTGATGTGACACCTACATCCAGTCCCTAACAATGTCTTGCTACCACATTTTGGATCCATGGAAGTTTTTGGAGTATTCTCAAAGATTGCCCTGTATCTGGCACATTATAGTAATCTAATTTATCATGACCAGTAATCTAAATCACCATGACCAGCTCATGTTTTTCAAGGAACAGGCATAACTGGTGTATTAGCTGAAGCTACTAAATGGTACTACACACCACAGAGGAGACCTCAGCCTCCAGCCTAGGGTTGCCATTTGCCCTCCCCCACCCCTGGCTGGTATTCAGTGGAGTGGCAGGGGAATAATAGGGTGGTGAAATGGTGATCTTCCAACACTATTATATCACTTCTGGCTAAGTTACTGGAAGCAACATCACCATGTTGTGGATGCTCTAGAACTAACCCAATTTATCACAGAACTGAATCCTGGAGCATCCCACAACATGTTAATGTCATTTCTAGTTATGTAGCCAGAAGTGACACTGCGGTGTTGGAAGACTGCTGTTCAGCCTCTTGGGAGTTGCCCTACTCCAGCTAGAGGCCAGGTCTTAGCAGTACTCCCAAGTGATGTACTTGCTCCGTCTGGGTGAGTGCAACACCGTCCAGGACAGGATGACTTGTAAGTACTTGCCAATGTGGTTGAACAGACAAATCCATTTTTTTTTTTTGCTAAGCATTAAGGTTCTAATGACACTTGATATGAATTCAATGTACCGAAGAGATGCACCACTAATTCCTAAGGTGCTGAATCTGGAAGATCTCTAACCCAGTATTTGGTGGGCCGGAGGATGATCTATTTAGCCACTAGTGCTGCTCACCCTAATCCAGGCCACCTGTGACTTGTTTAAGGTCTGGATTACTTGGTATATAGCCAGCTATTAAATGGACAAACAGAAACACACTTCGTTAGTGTTCAGCTGAAGTGCTGCTTGGCGTCAGTCCAAAGGTGATGCACAACTTTGCATTTCCAATATATTTAGAGTGAGAGCAGCATACTCCATGTCTCCAACAAGCATATTATTAACATCATTATTCCAGTATTCTAGGATGCCGGTATGATTTTAATAATAGTTTTTGTTGTATTTGTAATCAAGGGTTGAAAGTACTATGGAATTAAGGACCTATTTCTACCAGGCTAGTTTGATGACTAATTCTGATTCATTCACTATTTCATACCAAATGTTATTTTTTATTTAAAACATGTTTAGGCTGCCTTTCCCGCCCCCCAATTTAGGGTACCCAAGGTGGTGAGCAATAAAAACATTAAAACAAAATTAAAAACAGATATAGATATATACAAAACAATTAAAACCAAACACAGAGACACATGGGCTGTGGTCACACACACTAAATAATCCACTTTCAATCCACTTTCAGTGCACTTTCCAACTGGATTTTACTGTGTGAACTGGCAAAATCCAATTGGAAAGTGCATTGAACGTGGATTGAAAGTGGATTATTTAGTGTGTGTGACTGCAGCCATGAATAGGTTATGTCTACGGTTGCCAGCCTCCAGGTGGGGCCTGGGGATCTCCCGCTTTTACCACTGATCCCCAGCCGACAGAGATCAGCTCCCCTGGAGAAAATGGCTGCTTTGAAGGGTGGACTCTATGGCATTGTATTATACTGAGGCCCCTCCCCTCCCCAAACCACACCCTCTCCTGGCTCCACCCCCAAAGTCTCCAGGTATTTTTCAACCCAGACTTGGCAACCCTAGTTATGTCTAAATAAGTGATGACGTAGGATTGGTCTTCAGAACAATGATTGGATGGGGTCTTTCAAAAACTACTTCTGCATCACACATAACAATGCAATCCTAAGAACACTTTCCTGGGAGTAAGCCCAACATTCGGTAAATAACTATGTAAAAGGTAATTCGTAATTCTATCCATCTAGCCAGTTTTTGTTACTTGGTGTTTTTTTCTGAGAGGCTGTGGAGAATAAAATTGCAAGGTAGCTTCTCTCTTTCTATTAGAAGCAGCAAATGGATGAATTATTTGTATTTATTTATTTAATTAAATTTATGGATCACCTACCTCGCAAGCAGGCTCTGGGTGATTAACAATATTTTAGACATTTAAAATACAATTGATATATGATTAAAATTACTAATAGTAACAGAAATTTAAACCCATCAAGATGGCCATTTAAACCTCCATTACCAGTCATAACGCTGTCCCCGCACAGCAGGCCAGGGAAGGGTATGTGGGGGCCATAGAAGAAATGACAGTCTGACAGTAGCTTTGTGAAATGTAGAAGGAAGGAAGCCCTACAGAATATATAATGTGAAGTAATACAATTAATTCAATTGTATCCCCAATGTATAAAGAATAAAGGATATGTTCTAGTGGTCCAAAGTATAAAAGACATGTTCCAAGAGTTGAGGGGCTTCAAAATTTCTTCCCAACTATTTGGACTGAGCATTTGGAAATCCACATTCCCTATTATTTGATTATATCGTTAACCAAGTGATGTGAAAGTCTGGATATGGAATTGGAACCTTTGGATTGTGTAGCCCTAGGGTTGCCAACTCCAGGCTGAGAAATTCCTGGAGATTTGTGGGCAGAGTTTGGGGTGGGGAGGGACTTCAGCAGAGGTGGCGGCTACAAGCATGGACAGCTTCAAAAGGGAATTAGATAGGCATATGGAGCAGAGGTCCATCAGTCGCTAATAGCCACAAGGCATAGATAGGGGCTCTGGGGCAAGTGATGCTCTGTCATGTTGGTGCTTGGGGGGGGCAACAGTGGGAGGGCTTCTAATGTCCTGGCCCCACTGGTGGACCTCCTGATGGCACCTGGTATTTTTGGCCACTGTGTGACAGAGTGTTGGACTAGATGGGCCTTTGACCTGATCCAACATTGGCGTCTCTTATGTTCTTATGTTCTTAGGTGTGATGCCATAGAGTCCATCGAATAGAATCCTACCATTTCACTATCCTACTACCTCAGTCCCACCTCATTCTCTTGCATGTGTGGTCCTGATCTGACAGACTTAAACATGATACTAGTGGGCTGCAAGAGCGATCTGTGAAATTCTGTAGCTCATGTCTATGCCTGCCACATACGTAGTGTACCAGTGATCAAAAGCCCAGGCCGACATTGTGCTAACACTGCACACAGATCAGGTGCTTAGGTAGGGTTGCCAGCTCTGGGTTGGGAAATTCCTGAAGACTTGAGGGTGGAGCATTGGCTGCATAGGGAGGGATCTAAGTGGTGATATAATACTATAGAGGCCACCCTCCAAAACCATTTTCTACAGGGGAAATGGATCTCCATAGTCTGGAGCTCAGCTGTAATTCTGGGAGGTCTCCAGGCCCCACCAGGACAAAATGATAGATGGATTTGTTTGGTTTATCTGCATAGTGGGAATATACCTAGCTCCATAGTTGGAGCTAGGTATACTGTCATTCAGTTTAATTAATTGCAGTGGCAGGATAATATTTCTCAAACTGAAAAACAGAATGGAACAATGAATTTGATAATAAGCCTCCTATGTGTTCAGTAACAAGCCTTTGTTCTTTTGCCAGGATTATTTGAACCTTCAGTTGTATTGATCAAATACATCAATGGCACAGGAGAGTATCATGGCACTGGAGTAGTGCATGGCACACTGTGCCCCACCAATCATGGCTAGACATATGCACCATACTAGATCACATTTTTCCCCCCTAGGACAGGGTTGGCAGGATTTCAGAAATAAAATCTGAAACCAAGGAACATGTCTAACTCTAACATTCCTGTCTCTATGCATGTCCATACATTCTGCATCCCAAACAAGCCCTGAAGCTCTAAGCTGTTTATTATTGTTAGCAGCCAAGTGACTTATGTAGAGACCACTGTCTTCTTCTAAGGAATGAAATGTTCCATGTTGCAATGTGCAGTTGTCAGTTAGGCGTATCCCACTGAGTGAGAAGAAGCAATTTCTTCTAGAACACACACAAAATATACAAGGAGCAGTATTATGCATCATTGGGGTTTAATTAGTTTTCCCTGATTGGCACATGGTCCATTCTCCATGGTGCTGATCCACAAGTATACTGGCACATATCTAGCTACATATCTCTTCCAACAGAATAATTCCTGTTTGTGGAAGAGGAGGTTGCAATTTCTGCCATCTCCCCCTCCCGCCTCATCCCTGCACTTCACCCCTATGCTGTTCCTGAGGGTCTGCTGACACCCAGAAATGAAATTTTAGGGAGCTCAGCAGGCTGCAACAGAAGGGGCAAGTGGGAAGGTCCTGTTTCACAAAGTTCATGGATGGCTGGTTAAATTCCATTCCCTCTAAGTATCCCATTGTCAGAGCTTCAGGGATATTAATTTAATAGTTATATTTATATGCAGAGGTCATTTCGGGGGGGATCGCGGGGGATCGCAGTTCCCCCGGGTGAGGTATGGGGGGCGGGGCACATGACGAAGCCCCGCCCCTGCTTCCGGCCGCCCCGCTTCCGGCCCTCATTCAGCCAGGAGGAGGCAGGAGAAGAGGGAGGGTAAGTTGCTTCCTCCCTGCCTCTCCCCACCCCTGCCTGCCTCGGGCCAGGGAGGGCCTTCGCGGGGCTTCCTTCCACTCCCGCCGGCCTTGCAGGTCCACCGCCGGGCTTCTCATGGGGCTCGGCAGTGGAGCTGCAAGGCCGGTGACGACGGCCGGGACCATTGGGGGCAGGGTGTGTGGCCTTATGACACACTTCCGGTGATGTCATGGGGTGTGGCATATGCTAATGAGTTATGCTAATGAGTTCCCCTAGCTCTTTTTCTATGAAACGACCCCTGTTTATATGCATTTGTCTTCCAATGAGCTGAAACAAATTGTTTAGCCTCACTACAATTCTATAGGGATCTACTTCGTGGATGAGATTTCCCATGCTCAAGCCAAACATTCAAACCCCTACAACACGATGGTTCTCAAGCTTCATTAGGAAATGTATTTCATTCCAACACAATTTGTGACTGCACGTTTGGTCGTATTTGACCCTCCTTGGCCACAGGAAGTCTTGAGCCTAATACTTTCTAGAGGCTGGGAGCCTTACATCTTCAGCCCGTTTGCCCAGATCTCAAAAGGTTTGCCAGTAAAATTCTGTAAGATGAGGGTGTCAAGGGAGCACAACACTTTGATGGAGAAAAATCACATCTGACTTCCATACACTTGTCAGAGGTCCAGCCTCACTCTCACAGAATGGAACTGGCAATTTTAATGCTCACATCCTGTGAAAGTAAATTATTTTGATTTGTTCCCCTTCCAATTACCTCCTGCACATGTATTTGTTGCAGTTTGCAAAAACTGTAGATGCTTGAATATGCAGGAAGATTTGCGAGCTAGTCATAATACTGAAGATAAGAAACAACTGTTTCAAATGTTTGCATAGAAGCAATGGTTTTTTTTAATCTCTATGTCAAAGCTAAATACTTTACAGTCCCATTGAATTTAATGACACTTAAATACTTTACAGTCCCATTGAATTTAATGACACTTTATGTCCTTCATTCTGGTTGGGTTGTCCTTTAGTAACAGAGCTCATCCGATTTTAAGTTGCCAAATTATTTTGATATTCTAGTTGAACACTAATAAGAGCAGGTATTCCCCACCCCCCAAATCCACCAAGGATGTACAATCTATACATATTAATTACTGTCATTATATAAAAAATATGTTGCAGCTTTGGCTAGTTCAACAGCCAAAGAACTGACAGTGGTCCTACGAACAAATTCACAGGTACTAAAAAGTTTTACTCCATAATTCTAATCATCTTCTTTCTGTGGCGTAATATTTTGTCCTAGCATTCTCCCTTTCCCCTTTCACATGTTTCAAAAGAACTTTTGCTTCTGAAACAATAATTTAATGAACTTCTACTTACCGGAACGGGTGGCGTACAGAATTATCATGGTGATGCCTATGATAGCAAGAAGGATTACTACAACCACAAGCCCAATTTCCATGGCACTCCATCGTGGTTTTTTCTTTTGTTTTGGAGAGTTCATTTCAGTTATATCCATCTGACTTTCTGACTTGCCCATAACCCAGAGTCTGAAAAGAGAGGTCGAGAAAAAGCAGTTACTCAAATGCCATAAGGATGGAAACTCTAAATTCCTCCTACCTAGCTAAGTTTTTTTCCCCTCTGAGAAAGAGGAAATACTGATTGTTTCAAAAACAGAAAGCAGTCATGAGAGTTAACTCACAGTTTTGCTACTTATAATTTGCAGGACAGGGATGTTATTAGGCACATGCAGGGAGGCTAAGAAAAGAGAACGAAAGCAAACCAACACTTGGATTTATAGCTAACATATCTTGTACCCTCCCTGGTACAAGAGTTCACAAGCAAGTAAAAGGCTGCCCTTAATGTTTGAATAAAAATTAACTTAACCTTTCAGTCTCTGATGTTTTGCCAGTGGTGAAAATATTCTATTTTGCCTGTCTGGCATTTTTCAAATCCTTCCAGCAATTAATAATGACTAAAGTCCAGGGTTTAGGGCTTCAATAGAAGAGAAAATGTTCGAGGCTGAACCCACAGGGTCAATATTAGAGGAACATGGATGAGAATTTTTAAACCGAGTCAGTGCCAGAAATTGCTTAAAGACAGCAGTGCTACTCTAGAATGGTCTGTTAGTTGGACTCACTACAAGAATGACTGTTGCAATGTATATGTTATCTTAGGGTTACCAAGCTCCAGGTGGAGCCTGGAGTTCACCTGGAACTATAACTGATCTCCAGACGTCAGAGATCAGTTCCTTTGTAGGAAACGGCCACTTTGGAAGGTGGATCCTATAGCGTACCATGGAGATAACATTATGCTAAGCTCCCTACCATCTTCCAACTCCACGCTCTCCAAGCCCTGACCCCAAATTTCTAGGAATTTCCTAATCTGGAGATGTCAATCCTTTTCCCACTCATATGCCTGCTCTTAATGATTTATAATTTTAAATGGAAAAAAATGCAACAATCTATATTAAAACAAGAAATCAAAAGAACAAAAATAAACCAGTAAAATGATGTCACAAATGGCACTTCTAAATTAGTGTGAACTGAAATATGAACCTACTTGAAGGAATGGCATCAGAAGCAAAACAGCACTTGGCTTCTTCATGAGATGTTTTTTTAAAAAAACATTCTAATCCTGGGATGAAGGGGCTAGGAGAGTAAACCGCCCCATACCCACCAATAGAATTAGGGACAGAGCAGCACCTGGCTCTTGTGGGCGTGTCTATTTGGGGAGATTTCATACTGGAAGTAAGGTCGCCAGTCTTCAGGTGGTATTTCATCTCCAGGCTACAGAGATCAGTTCCCCTGGAGAAAATGGCTGCTTTGGAGGGTGGACTCTACAGCATATCCCACTGAAGTCCCTCCCCTCCCTAACCCCGCCCTCCCCAAGCTCCACCCCCAAAATCTCCAGGTATTTCCCAACCTAGAGCTGGCAACCTTAAGTGGAAGCAATGCTTTGGTGCTCCTTTACTTGGTTGGATTTCCTTGTTTTGGTTACAAAATGGTGGGGGAGGAATAAATAATACACTATTTGGGAGTAGGGTTCCCAAATGTGCCCGGGGGGCGGGGACCCCCCCGCTTCGGAGCCCCCGAGTTCCGCCCCGGAGGAATCCGGGCCCGGGGGAAACCCCGCCCCTGAAGCTGCGTCAGCGGAGGTGACGCAGTCACGTCACTGGCGTTGGGGGCGTGGCTGAGCTCGGCCACGCCCCCCGACGAGCTTGGCCACGCCCCCAATGTCAGCGACGTCTGACGTCACTTCCGGTGACGTCGCAGCGGCGCGCGCGCAAGGACGAACGCGAACTCCCGGCCGGGACGGAGCCTCCCCTGCTGGTGAGTTTAAAGGATTTGGCAACCCTATTTGGGAGAGATAAATCTACAGCAGTACCATGTCCCACACTGATTTTAAGTTATCGAGAATGGGTTGTAAGAAGTTACACTTCTGTTTTAAAAGGTTACAAACTATTTTGACAACCTTAGAGTTGAAAAGTAGCAAATAAATCCTAGTGGGAGAGTCTGTTTCTTGATGGCAGGGTATATGCTTTGCATTTATCATCATCATCATTGTCAACAACAACAACAGTAATAATAATAATATATTTACAAAATTTGTATGCTACCTTCCTGCCCTTACAAGGGCCATCAAAGCAGCTAACAATTTAAAACACACATTATAAACCCACATTATGAAAGCACTAAAACCAACACCCTCGACACACATTAAAACAATTAAAAACACAGTTAAAACACATACGAAACATAAAAACTGCAATCAAAAGATTGATTAGGAAGGAGGAATCACTGAAGGCCCAGGTTGATCCCTGGCTCTCATCAGTTAAAGAATCAGATAACAGATGATGTGAAAGATCTCCTACCCGAGAACTTAGATAGGTGCTGCAGGTCAGAGTACACAACACTGAACGAATTGTACCAATGACAGCCCAGAATGGTACGGTGGTTAGGGGGTCAGCCCAGGATCTGCAAGACCCATCTTCAAATTGTCATGTTACCATGAAGCTTACTGCATGACCTTGGGCCAGTCATTCTCTCTATGACTAACCTACCGCACAGGAATGTTGTGAGGATAAAATGGAGGGAAAGACAGTGATGTATAGACTGCCCTCAGCTCCTTAAAGGAAGGGTGGGCTAAAATATTTATACCAACAGTGCAACAGAGCCTCTCTCAGTATAAGGACATTTCCTGTGTTCAAAAATCTAATAAGTAAAGCATAAAACTCAAGAGTAGACATATCCAGCCTCTTCAAAATTCTATTAAAAGCGGCTGGTGGGAGAGGGCTAATTAGATCAAGGCTGTGGTACTGTGAGAGGAAGGGTCAAACAATTTCTTCCTGTAAGAAAACGCTCAACTGTGTATAATTGCTACAGGCTATCATAGTGAGCTACAAAACTGATCTAAGAGAAAAAAATGCTACTGAAGATGTCAGATGGACAAATCTGATTGGAGCACCTGAACATTCTCTCAACAATTGCATTCTAAGAGTGGAAGGTACAGAAACAGCTGAGGAGAAGCAGAAAGTGGTCAGCTACAGACATTTGGGTTATCTCAGAAAGATACCTGGTAACTGATTTGAAGTGTGGTAAAACCATACCAGTACATTAACAGTGTAATTTGATTTTAGTTGTATTATTTCCTTTGTGTGGAACTCCCTTATTTTATATCCAAATGTCTTACTTATAAAGTAGTTGTGAGACAATTTCAAAACATGGCTGGTACAGTTTGAATATTGCCTTTTCGATCTTGGTTGTCCCTTGTGAGAAACGAAACCTTCATTTTATTATCAGTTCTTCTTCTTTCAGGCAAAAATTGCAACATTTTAAATGTTATTCTTGCCTAAAATTTGTATAAATGGTTTATAAATGGTGCATAACGTGTATCTGGTGTTAAAATGTAGAAATGGTGTGTATGTAAAACCAGTATTTAAAAGAGAAAAGAACCATCTCTGGCAGCAACAGAAATAAGGAGGTTGAAAACTGATGACAATGATAACGTATGATATCAAAAAGAAATAAAAGACTACATCAACTTATTCCTATTATCAAGTTTTACCTGGTTTAACCCTGTAATACCTGGACCAAGTGGCTTATTGGTGGTTCTGGCGCTATCACGCCTACTTAGACACAGCTGCCAGATTTAATTTGGACTTCGTTTATGTATACAGCAGAATGTGGAGTCAGGGTGCTGAGGTGATAACATGGCCCACACCACTTCATACTACAGGGAGCGTTATCACAGTTTCAGATGACTACAGGTAGGGGATCGCAGTTTCAGAGGTTACCCTAAGTTAAAAAGTCACTGTGAACAGAAAACTAGCCCAAAGGGTTCTGTCCCAACTCTTTGCCTTTTCCTCTTGTTGGCAGCTGTGCTATTTCTGTTCTATGGAAGAGCATTCCAAACCAGAATCCACCACAATTTCCAGTCTGAAGTGGCACGGCCTATCCGACCACTTCAGTGTTCTACGACCTCACTCCCACTCCACTCACTTGCACGTGTCGTCTGGGTCTAAGGTCTGGTTTAAACATAACACTATGTAGGGTTGCCAACCTTCAAGGTGGCACCTGGAGATTTCCCACTATTACAACTGATCTCCAGATGACCTAGATCAGTTCCCTGGGAGAAAATGGCAGCTTTGGAGAATGGACTCTATGGCATTGTACCCTGCTGACGTCCCTCCCATCTAGAACCCCACCTTTCCCAGTCTCCACCCCCCCAAGTATCCAGGTATTTCCCAAACCAGAGCTGGCAACCCTATGCTTATGCCAGTTACATATGCAGTGCACCAGAGATCCAAAGCCCAGACAGACATTCTGCTAACATTGCACACCTATCAGGTACTTTGGGTACTTTGCAGGTACTTAGCTAGGTTGATCAGAGGAGCAAGCCAAAGAAGTGCCAAAGGGCTCTTGGATTGGAGTTCATGGCTTACAGCCTGAAGCCTGTGGTTGGCAGCTCAATGGACCAAGACCAGCCCAAATAAGCCTGTGTTTTTTCTCTTTGTCTTATTTGTTTAAATGGTTTTAGTTGACATTTTCTGCAAGCCACACTGGATCCCTTTGGGGAGGAAAGCCACACAGAAATGCTTGAATAAATAAATAAATAGCATTGCATGGGATGTAGTAACTTGCTGTGAATGAGTGCAATACCACAAAGGTAGTTTCTACTTGCCCAGCAGACGTCACTTTTAAACTGTGGGTTAAGTGAGAGGCACTGAGGTGGCAGTCTCTGTCTTTGTATTATTTTGTTTTAGGTACACCACTATAAAGGCAGAGCTGTGGTGGCTCAAGTGGTTAAGACGCTGAACTGCAGGCTGTGGAAGGTCAGTAGTTCAGCAGTTCGAGACCCGTGTGCCGCATGTGGAGTGAGCGCCCGTCTCTAGTTCCAGCTCCTGCCAACCTAGCAGTTCGAAAGCAAGAAATTGCAAGTAGATAAATTGGTACCACTTCGGTGGGAAGGTAACAGCGTTCCGTGCGCCTTGGTGTTTAGTCATGCCGGCCACATGACCACGGAAACGTCTTCGGACAGTGCTG